ACCGAAGAGGTCAGAGGTTCTCTTCGGCTCTTGGGACTTCCAATGATAAGAACAACACTGTAGAAAGTAGGATCCTGCCTGTTGGGTGTTTGTTAGTTCTAATGGTTCAGACCCACCTAGACAACTCAGCCATAAAAGGGGAAACAGGACCATTGGTTCCGCTATCTCAGTGCCTTAATGTAATTAACATGTAATACTGTTTCTGAAGATTCCTGGTTATATCTATGCTAAAACTTCCACCAAAGCCCTATTCCAACTACTAAGGCCCCTCTAACAACCTGGCCTTGCAAGGAAAGTTCAGGATACTTGGAGATGTTTTCTTTTTCAGGAGCCTGTGTTGTTAAACAGGCATGGATTATTCCGGTTCCCTGAAAACGGCCCCTGAACCTTCTGGTTGAAGATTGTGGGGCAAGTCAGGCGTGACTCGTCTAGGCTTTCTGTCTTGCAGGTTGCCACCCACGTGAGCCAGCCTGCACTGATGCCGCATGACCGCTCTAGAGCAGCATTCGCCGTTGTCGCAAGGTTAGGAAGATGTAGGTATCATACCAGTTCAGGTGCACATAATCTTTGCAGTCCCGAGTGGTACGACGATCTGGAGTTTTGGGTCCAAGGCTTTGTGGGCTGGCAACTTCCCAGCATGGTCTTCAAAGCTTGCGCAGGCACACATGAAATATGCCCGTCTTGAAAATCAGCCCCGGCTTGTTCTGAAAGCAGGGTCCTGTTCCGAAAGGAAACTCTGATCGAGTGATGGGGTCCTCATACCTATTTTGCATGAATGAATATCACTGCTTCCTGATAGCAGTACTGACAACATCTGGCATGTAACCGTAACAGTGCTGCTCGCACCCTGCTCGCGAACAACCCCGGCATACTCCGCCAACTCAGCGGAGTTGTCTCCAGTCGTCTCACTTGGTTCACCACGGAGAAGTAGACAGTAACGGCATGCTGCACATCTTGCGCAGTAGATGTTGCCGGTAGTCTTTAGGGGCCTCTGCTGGCTTCCCTAAACTGAGGAGACAGAAAATTGAAAACAACGACTTAAACACTGTTGCGTCAACGGCAGTGACGACCTCGGCATCCTGCACATAGCTGTAAGCGTATTGACTGCTTAGGGCTTGATGCTGAGACGGGGACATTTCCTTAGCCTTAGCTGCCGGGAAAGCGTGAAGTTCAGACATAAAGCCTGGCTCCTCAAGGCCCTCGCTTAAGACGCCTAGCACCAAGAGCTCCGTTCCAGCCTTCTCAAAATGAGAGCTGGCAAAAGCATGTGCGTGCTGATCCACGACCGGATGACTGGTTACAGTAGGGCCTCAATGCCGGGAGCACTGGGAAGACAGAGTTGTACACTTTGAAGTCCTTCCAGATATCTAGCTCAAACGGCGGCGAGTGCGGCGGCAACAGAATGCCGCAGTACGACTTTCCCACTTGCGCATGATACAGACATTCTGAACTTCGAGACAGCGCCCGGAAGGCTCCTCAAGCCCTAAGCTCACAAAATTCGGCCCAAAGAAACGCCGGCACCCAGCTTCAACATGCTATTATGAGTCCAAGTCCGAAGACTCTGCAGAGCTTCTATGCACTTGTGAATTCTATAGGCTGTGGGATGTAACACTCGGAGAACGCACTTCGAGTGGATGGATCGCACGCTGTCGTGCAGGCGACTGAGATCGGCCAAGGTACAAAAAGTGGCTGCCTCTGACAAATCGTCTTCGTCCCTTTCCTCCCTCTTTCGTTTGAACATGTTTCAGTAGTAATTAGTACTACAGCTGTAGTTGGGGGTGCGCGCTTTTCGGCAAATTATGCCTAACAGCTGTCAGAGTGGAGACTGGCTCGAACTTGGGTTCGCTATCGATGCATGTATATAGAGGGGGTAATGCTATAGCCCAAACAGCGAATAAGACCAAACCAACCATTTCAGGAGCACACCAAAGTCCCCCAAGACCAGCCCATGAGGTCCAAAATGCACCCCATGGCGGAAGCACGAGCATGCGATAGCCTGTGCCGTGCTTTGGCGGATTCGACGGGAGCACGATTTTGGTGACAGAAACATGAGTCCTCACATGCGCGCGACACTGTGGTGGGAGCACGATTTCCGGAGGCCAATTGCTTTTTTCGGAGGATTCCGAAATGCTCTTGAACGGCGGCATTTCAAGAGCACACCTAGGAGCCACAAAGAGCCGACAAGTGCGGTTTCAGCGACTTGGATCGATTTCAAGGCCAAGAAGGGAAAGGGAAAGATATGAACGGTACTGTTGCCGGAGCACGGTTCGCGGAGCTCGGAACTGCAACTGAAGCGGGTGTCCTAGGCGGACAGGGCCAAAGCGGAGTGAGGAAAGGACGCGGTTGGAGTCGAAATTGTGCATCGCATCACAACCGTAAAAGCCCTGTGGTTACCACACTGTTGCTGCAGTTCGTTGCTTCGCAGCATTGGTCCAGAATCTGTTCTTTGAAATAGGCGCATAACCCTGGCTTTGACTTGTTGTTTATCTTGTTCGGATCGAAGCGCCAGGCTGGGCACACGACGAGGCCAAAGCTGCCGTATCTTCCGCAATAGACGCTCTTGTCCAGCTTGGTGTACACAGATGTGTCGCATGAATGTGAGTAGGTGTAACATTCAGACTGAGTCAGGTAGTTATAACTTCGGGTCTGGATGCTCGCAATGCCTGAGAAATATGAAACTCTGAATCCGTCCAATGGCGTTCAAGCGATCTTCGGGATCTCCTGCGACTCTGTCAACACAGCTTTCAGTGTTTCTTTCGTGGCATGGGACTGGTGCCTTTTTTCGGTTTGCGTAGCGGAGTGTCGTCGCTGCAACCCATGCTGCCTTTCACTCCTCCATGAAAACGGGCTTCCTGCAAGCCAGCAGAATCACGGTTGCAGGATTCCTATCTGGTTCGCATTCTGCCAGGGCAGGCCTGTCTTAGTTGCCAGATGTGCTTGCATTTGTTTGGGCTTTCATGGAGTGGAATAGAACAGTCGCCAAAAAAGAGTCGAGGTTCAGGCCGGCGAAGAAGCTCCCCAACATCTTCTCTGATGGTGCCTGAACGGCTCAAGCCTCAAGCAATAAACGGCTTCGAAGCAAGACTATCGCAGGGGAATGTTCGCACAGACGGTCTTCTACATTTGCATCCCTCGTACTCAGGCTGGAAGGCAGTTGCAGGCAGGGGTTACGTGGAGCAAGCCGACATAGTTGGAACAAGCCCTCATACTAGCCTTAGGCGAAAGCATGGGTGCGGCCAAAAAATAAAACAACAAAGACCTGATCTATTCGATCGTTCACTCCAGATCCGATGGGCTTACTGGCATTGCGGAAAGTTTACAGTCTTCCTCAATCCCAACCTTGTGCCAGATAACTTCATCCTGGATCCCGTTACTTAGTTACAGTCCTACGCAATTTTTCAGCACCCTTTGTAACCAGCCACAGGAGTGAAAGACAATGGACGGGTATCTGGCCTGACTGTCCACATGTTGACCGCATGACGTTTCGTACCGTGGCTCAAGCTGCAGTTTAGCTCCCTCTGCCCTCTCTGTGGTCGAGGATCCGAGCTATTCAAGGTGGGGGGGGGTCCATGCTTGTGAGTCAGTGCGACACTTTTCCATCCAACGGTGGCGGACTGTGGCTTCCATGACCTCTCGTTCTAGAAGAGCTTTCGCTCTTCGCGTTTCTGAAGTGACATCGCTGCGTGCTCTCCTGGTGTCTATGCCAAGAGTCTATGCACGTCAAGGTGATGACGAAGATAATGGTGACGGTGATGATGGTGATGACGGTAATGATGATAGTGATGGTGGCGATGGTGATGGTGATGACGGTCATGATGATGATGATGATGATGATGATGATGGTGATGATGATGATGATGATGATGACGATGATGATGGTGGTGGTGGTTCCTATGTTTTCTCTTTTAGCCGTGAGCTCATTGCAATTGCGGACTGCGCGCTGAGAGCAGTATGAACCTTGAGCACTTGCTCGCTAGAAGACAATCATGCATGTCACAACACATAAGCGCTTTCCGGGAATAGTTGCATGTCGCAGCAGTGCGGAGGACCAGATGCAAAAACTACACGCTAGTCAATACATACTCCTTGTATCTGTGCCGACAGCAGTCTTTACACTAAGTCTCGCACTCAGAATGCTCCTTGCCACTTGACAGGTGTATTTATGTATATGTGCGACCCTAAACCCTAAACCCTAAACTCTAAGGAGCAGCTTGTCAACTGAGACGGCACAGGCCCACACTTGCTTTACCGCCTACCTGAACGCCCCTTGTACTGCCACTTGGCCGCCAGCTGCCCCGAAACATTTTACTGCAGCGACCTGGGGATGTTCTCTGCTTAGCAGCAGCGAATGCTGCTTTTTAGGGTTTAGGGTTCAGAGCCCAGGTAGTTTGTGTGCCAACTCCGTTACCGTTATGCATTGAAAACTCCCTCGAACGGTGCGCAGGCAAATATGGTCGTCCATCTTGCAAGTATCAGTGCTGCCTCTACTTACTGCATGAAATTCTGCTTACGCTGTGGAGGATTTCCATGGTGCATTGCAGTCTTCCCGAGCAATTCTTTGTGAACGGTACGAGTGTAGCATAGAAGCGCACGTAAATCTTGTGTGCCTTCGTATAGTATACGGGGATCCTGCCCAGGTGAATGTAGCTCTCTTACTTGTGTTTTTTCAACTATTGCGACTTTCTTCTAGCATTGGTGCTGATAGTTGTCAGAGTATGACGACATGCAGATAAGCACCTCAGGTATTGCTGTGAAGTTGCCAAGTGCCCAGGGGTAGCAGAAAATCATGGTGTGCTGCTGTGTGACAGCAGGTCTTCATTACCATTGGGTGCCGCTCGGATGCATTCTTCGACTGGTACTGCACAATGACAGCATCGAAAACGATCCAATTCGTAGATAATGGACTCTTCGCTTCGCTGAAGGGATCCGGGTCACAGATGGCATGAATTCTGCGATCACCATGCGGAACCAGACCACCTGCTTAAATGCAGGTGGCAACCATGTTTCGCAACGTGGCTTACATCCAATTCTGCCTCTTGGTGGCTGCCTTGGCCTCTCGTCAGCAGCATGAGTTGTGTGAGGCAGCTAGCTGTGTTCGAGTTGCAGTTCCGAATCGATTGAACACCACCCCAGATTCCAAAGCTTTTGCAGGGAACAGCTGACACTGCTGGGCACGTGCCAGTCACCACGGAGGACAGGTCTGGTAGTCAGGATGTGCCGTGCTGTGCAGCGCTTCGCAGAGCTTCTGAGGCTTGTGCCTTGACAAATAAGCCTGCCACGACGTTTTGCCAGTCCCTTATGTTCCTGTTATGAAGCTATGGCTATCATGATCGGTATTGCTACGAGCTCTGTCACTTGTAATGACTAACAATATTGGCACGGGCTTGCAAAGAGGTTGTCGGAGTCCTCTGCTCCTGGCAGTCGGGATATAGACCATTCATTCCGCAACCCTACAACCCCCTAAACCCTAAACCCTAAACCCCTAAACCCCTAAACCCCTAAACCCCTAAACCCTATAAACCCTAAACCCTAAACTTATCATAAGCCTATGGTCCCTGAAACCTAAACCTTGCCAGCCCAAAGTCCCCGCACTCTGGAAGGCCTAAGCCTAGGTCTTATGAGCCCTCCTACGGACCCGATTTATGCTTTAAAACAACGCTAACCCCCCAGTTACCCACTATATAGGGTACTAGCGCCCCTGGGGCCCTATATAGTATGTACCTGGGCGGTTAGGGCAATATAAGCCCTATACATAAACCTTCCTTCAAGCTGGCCAAACTGGACATCACAGCCTGCGCAGGATGAACCGATTGCCTGTCCCGTTGGGATGGGCGCTTTGCGCAAGGCGTTGGCTTTCTTCGACTTGAAGGAGATCGGGGTTGGGGAGGGGAAGGGGGTGACGGGGTGGGGAGGGGGGATAGGGAGGGAGTGAAATACACGGGTTCTGCAAGATATTTGGGATTGTATAAGAGTGTGCTGCGTGTTTCCGAAGGGAGGGGCCTTGGGATTTAGGATTGGGTTTGGGGTTTGGCTTTTGGATGTATGGTTGCGGCTATATGTCCATGGTTTTTTGGCAGGCTATTTCACACGCGTTGGCGTGCTAGCTGGGCGTCGCGGTTCCGGGGGACAAGGGACGAGCATGTTGGCTCACAAATTGCAAGCCGTAAGTGCTAAAGCTTCATTCGTTGGCACACACGAACCTAGGCATGTTCAATTGCATAAATTTGTTCGTGTCTATACTTATATAGATATATATATATATATACACACAATTAACTTTACATGCATAGGTACATACATGCACACAGGCTTGCATGAATCTATACACCGTATACAGACATACACACGTAATTACATACATACCTGCGTAATCCTGCGTATGTCACACATGCACGTACTTATGTCATGCGCGCATTTGCATGCATGCATATGTAGATACATACATCTTGTTGTCCGATTAGAATGTGCAAAGGGCTGCGTACAAGGCACGACAGGGTGATGAACGTTCTGAGTGCTCTCGGTTAATGCCTTCAGGACAAACTGTCAGAAAGAAGTCTTCCAGGCATGAGACCTTTGAACCGTAAATACAAAACCTCAGGGTACGAGATTCAACATATAGGGCACCCGGGATTGAGCTAAAATAGTACGACGTCCCTACATCAGGATCCTTCCCGACTTGTGGATATGGCTGTCTCTTGGCTTTGCAGTTGGGAGGTTCGCCCGTTACCAACAGAAGCCCAGCAAAATTGACTGAAGTCGATGTACGAAGTCTTGTTTGGGCACATTCCTAAGAATTCTAAAAGTCCTAAACTCTTCAACTCTAAAACCATCTAAAGCTCCAAGCCCCCAGCACCCCTTGCACCACAGTTGACCCTTGTGCACTATACTTTATAAACCCGTGAGTGCTGTTTGCAATGAGGGGCTTAGTTCGTTGTTGGACAGCCCTGTGAGACATAGCTTCCTGAGACCCAGAGAGCACACTACCCCCTAGCCACCGATAATATACATATATATATATATATATGTATATAAAAAGCTGTAAATGTATTCACACAGATATGTGTATCGATATGTACATGTATATATATATATATATATATACGCATGTATATGTGTATACATATGTATATATATATATACATGTACATACTCACGGAAGTGCTGTATGTGTACATATGTCTGGATGGGTCGGTGGGTGGGTGGGTGATTCGTGGATGGATGTTGGCATGTAGATGTTCCACTTCGTTGTGTTTTGTTAAATCCATCATATTTTCTTCATTATGCGTCTTCTCCTTACTTTTGTTCTTGTTTCTGGCGGTCGTACAGCTAGCCCCATTGTTACCTACTGAGTAGAAGCAGTAGTAGTAGTAGTAGTAGTAGTAGTAGTAGTAGTAGTGGTAGTAGTAGTAGTAGTAGTAGTAGTAGTACGTAGTAGTACGTAGTCGTCGTGGTCGTCGTCGTCGTCGTCGTAGTAGTAGTAGTAGTAGTAGTACTCGTCGCAGTCGTAGTCGTCGTCGTCGTCGTCGTAGTAGTAGTAGTAGTAGTAGCAGTAGTAGTAGTAGCAGTAGTAGTAGTACTCGTCGTAGTTGTAGTCGTCGTCGTAGTAGTAGTAGAAGTAGTAATCGTTGTCGTAGTAGTACAAGTAGAAATATTAGTAGTAGTACCAGTAGTAGTAGTAGTAGTAGTAGTTGTTGTTGTTGGAAGTGGAGGCTGATACTGGAGTGGGTAAACGATCACCAGCGATACACCTTCTGTACGAATATCAGCTTCATTTCCATTTTTGCCATGCGCACACTATCTACGCGCATCCGCAGTCCTTTTATCCACCATACTATCGTAGCATCCTGCATTTCGTCATTGTCTGCAGATATGGCTTCGTACCGCACGGGCGGGGGGAGCGCGTATTGGTGACCAAGCTCGATGATAAGGCTGTCAAGATAAGGAATACCCACGGTCAAAGCATGCGGATAGGTCCAATACGTGGCAGACAGATACCTGCAAATAAGTTTGCGAGAATGCTCCCTTGCAGTTCCCGAGATCAGCACTCTAGAGAAGCAGTTCTCTTTCCGGCTGCAATCTCTTGTGAACTCTACTTTGTGGCCGCTTGCAGCAACACATGTGCAGCGCAGAGGTCTCAAGCTTTCTTCCCGACCTGATGGCCTTGCTTGCAGCGGCACTCTTCTTTTACTTCTTGAACCTTGTCCTCGTGGTGCCTTGGAGCTCTGGTATTAGCTCCTCTAGGGACTTGGGCAACTGAGGAAATGATAGAAACAAAGTTGCAGTTTACATTGGTGCGGCCAGCGCAGTTTTGCGCTGCGCAATTACTCGTTCGGGGAATGCAGTGAGCACATTTCGTTTGGGTTGCCGTGTTTCTGATTCATCTCAAGCAATCTTAGACCCCTTCTCTGGGCTGTATGGGTTAATGTTGTCGAGCTTCAGCTTATCATGGCTGTGGACAACTTTCGCTGTACGCTGCAACGCGGGCTAGCTGAATGCGAGTGTGCGAGTCGAAACCCCGGCCTGTCATGGAATGTCTCCGCATCCGACGCTCTCTCGGAAAAGACTGAGGTGCCGAAAAGGCGCTCGAAGCCTCGCACCGAGCCCCTCGAGGATTCGACGATCCAAGAGGTGTTCGTGAAGTCCATTTATGTATGGCACATGTGAGTAGTATTTCAAGAATATCAGCAGCAGTACAGCATGGTTTTGATAGTAGTGCGATCCATGCATTTATAAGAGCTGGTATGGTTTACTACTCGTCTTCGTATCATTATTGATTGGCGATTGCTCTCTCTCTCTCTCTCGCTGTCTGTTCGAGTTCTTTGTGCGTAGGTGTAGACATACATACATACATACATACATACATACATACATACATACGTACATACATACGGGCATACCTACCTACCTACCTACCTACCTACCTACCTACCTACCTACCTACCTACCTACCTACCTACCTACCTACCTACCTACCTATACCTACCTACCTATCTACCTACCCACCTAGCTAGCTACCTAGCTAGCTAGCTAGCTAGCTAGCTAGCTAGCTAGCTAGCTAGCTAGCTAGCTAGCTTTCCATCACCTAAGCCCTGAACCCTGGAGTCGAAATTTTTACTCTGAACCGTGCCCGATCCTGTGCGACCTGATGGCTTGTTGGCCTGTGGCCTCTAAGTCACCGGCTGCAGCTTTCGTGGAAACTTTTGCCGTCGTGGTTTGGAGTCCCTAAACCCTAAACCCTAAACCAAGAACTCGCCTTGGAAGTTGTTCTGTACCAGGTTGGGGTGCTTCAAGACGAGTCAAAGAGAAGTCCCAACACCAGAGCCTCAGAGTCTTCCCCATGTAATCATCGCCATGGTCAGGACAAGACAGATCCAAGTGCCGTTCCGATCCGTCACGTGACCTATCGTTCGAGTGATAATCATGATCAGAATATTATTAGTATTATTAGTATTACTAGTATTTTCATTATTATTAGTACTATAAATCTGAGATTCTGCTGCCTTTCTGGTCTCTGGGAACAGGAACAGGAAGAAGAGATCCGGTCTCTCAGAGCGCGCCTGGACGAGGCTGAAGTGAAGGCGGGAGCCCCCCCCCAACAAAAAAAGTTGGAGTTTAGGCTGTTATTCAGAAGCTAGTGACGATGTTCTAAGGTTGTTGCGGTTGGTGGTTCGGGATGAGGGGCTTGGTTTCAAGTTAGATGCTTTGATGTAGGGTTTTGGTTTCAATGTTGAGGCTTTCCTCTCTGAAACACCCTATTGTCAAGAGAAAGCTTTTCATCCATGTTATCCGTTCTCACCAACGCGGCATCTTCAAAATGATTAGGTGCGGCACTATACGCCAAGACGTTACCGCGAAGTCCAACGAACCCTTGAGTGCAGAGTAAGTCCTGAGTTTGAAGGGCAGGCCCCATCAAGCCGGGGTGCACGGTCAAGTGGGGCAGTTCCAGCAGCTGGTGAAGCCCTCTTCGTGCTTTTGCGGTTCATGCTGAGCTCTGCTACTTGTCACGGACATCCGCGGTGGTGTGATCCAAGTGGGGAAGACGGCATCTGCCGAGCCGTGGATGTCGTCCATGAATCGCACCTGATTAAACTTTTAAACGCCGTGTGTACTGAAGGTGTGGAAGCATGCGATCAGCATCGTAGCGGAAAGCAATTGCTTGCAAGTGTGCAGTCTCTGTACCGCTATGGCTGATACCCCTTCCGTATTTGCAGCGAATTACTTATAAGACAACTTGGTCGGGAAGTCAATGTTCAGGGCCCTGCTTCCAGGCTGTGTCTTTAGGGTCGTGCTTCAATCGCCGACGCCAGCATCCACACCTTTCTGCCTTGCTCGGCTAGTAACCGCTAGCAGGAACCCTAAGCCCTAAACCCCTAAACCCCTAAACCCCTAAACCCCTAAGCCCTAACCTCTGAACCCTCGGGAGTTGTAGCTTGTGTTACCAATTCGGTGTTCCACAACCGGGCTTTCCACGTCGCATGAGGCTCCAAGTAGCCCGGCCAGGTTCGAGCCACGCTGATCGAGAAGGAGAAGGCCCGGGACCTCTCTTCCACAATTCAGGGCTTGCGGGACGTGGCCTGCAGTTGTCATTGTTGAAGTCAGCCGTGGGGCTTCTTGCTGAGTTGTATGATTTTGTGATCACTGCGGCCCAGCAACAAGTCGCCGTCGCAGGAAGCAAAGAGGCTTGGAGAGGAGACCTCTTCGCTGGGGCAGGGCGGCAGACGTCCGTGTGGGTTGAAGCGAAGTTGGACGGAGAGTTGAAGAGTTTGGTCTTTGTTCCCGTCTCCGAACACCCCCCCAAAATTCATCGGCCCTTCTTCGGGCACCGTGCCGAAGTCGGCAACCTGCGGGCTCAAAAAGCATCCCTGCAGCATTAGGCAACGTGATCTCCCACTTCCCAACTCTCCGGCATCATGTTGATGGGCTTGGACTACATAGGCAAGACTAGCTTTTTCGAGGACAACACGCCACTGCCGAAGGAGTCCGGCTACGCAATCTTGCTTGGCTTTGGAGCATTCTTTTCCGTGGTAACCACAGTGCTGGTGTATCTGGACAAGTATGCGAATGGAACCGTACACACATCAGAATTCTTCAACACTGCCGGCCGCACTGTTAATACAGGCCTGACAGCCTCTGTCATCGTCTCGCAGTGGACCTGGCCGGCGACACTTCTGCAATCCTGCAATGTAGCATGGCAGTACGGAGTTTCTGGGCCGTTTTGGTACGCCGCTGGCGCAACGATCCAGGTACTACTCTTCGGCATGTTGGCGATCGAGGTCAAACGCCGTGCTCGGACGGCGCACACAGTGTGCGAGATGGTTTTGGCCAGGTGGGGCAAACGTGCGCACCTGACTTTCCTCTTCTTCGCGCTATTGGCCAACGTACTCGTGACCTCCATGCTGCTACTGGGCGGTGCTGCCACAGTAAATGCGCTGACGGGCTTGGATACGAACCTGGCATGCTTCCTGATTCCCTGGGGTGTGATCCTTTACACAGCGGCAGGTGGCCTGAAGGCCACTTTCATGGCCTCCTACCTCCATACCGCCATCATTTTCCTGATTCTGCTGGTGTGTGTGTACACTGTTTATGTCAAGGAATTCTCGTGCGACAGCATCTATGAAGGCCTGATGCAGGTATCGAGCTATTCGACTGCACAGTGCCAGCAAATTTTTCACAATGGCAGTCAGACCTTCTTCGAACCGGGTAGGTATGCCTGCGGGCCTGTGGCGCAAAACGACCACGGATCCTATCTGACCATGAAATCTTCGGGTGGTACGAAGTTCGGTGTCATCAACATCATCGGCAACTTCGGCACCGTTTTCGTGGACCAGTCGTACTGGCAATCTGCGATCGCGGCTAGGCCGGCCAGTGCCCACAAGGGCTACCTGCTGGGTGGATTGGTTTGGTTCACGATCCCCTTTGCCCTCGCCACGTCCCTTGGCATGTGTGCCGTTGCCCTGCAGCTTCCCATCTCCTCTGCCGAAGCCGCCGCCGGTCTGGTGCCGCCCGCGGTCGCCACACACCTCTTCGGCAGCTTCGGTTCGGTGATGATGGCGGTGATGCTTTTCATGGCCATCACCTCCACAGGCTCTGCCGAGGGTATCGCCGTGTCATCCCTGATTACATACGACATCTACAAGACCTACATCAACCCCAAGTGCACCGGCAAACAGGTGCTGAGACTTTCCCAGGCGGTGGTGGTCATCTTCGGCCTACTCATGGGCGGCCTCGGTGTCGCCCTTAACTGCATTGGCCTGAACCTGAGCTGGCTGTACCTATTTATGGGCAATGTCATCGGCTCTGCCGTGGTCCCTCTCTGGAACCTGCTCATGTGGAAGGATGCCAACGCGACAGGGGCCGTGGTCGCAGCCTGGGGCGGCATGATCCTGGCCCTGGCGACGTGGCTCATCGTGTGCCAGGCCGAGTTTGGTGAGATCACCATCGAGAACCTGGGAGAGTTGAACCCAAACCTCGCCGGCAACCTCACGGCCTTGGCGTCATCGGCCTTGATCCATTTCGTCTTCTCCATGAAGAATCCTCAAAACTATGATTTCCAATCTATGGGCAAGATTGAAATGCTGGAGCAGGACATGAGTGG